GGGGGCGAATGCCTCACGATCGACCAGCTGGTGACCACAGCCCTAAGCAAAGGTGCAGTCAGGTGACTCTGTGCCCTGGCCCTGCCTTCTGTGCTAGGCACCGTGGCCATTGGGAGGTGCAGGGGCAGCGCCTGTGGGTGGGGCAGTGCTCAGAGCCTCCATGAGGTTGAAGGAGCCAGCGAGGAAACGGCCTGTGCCAAACCCATAAGAGCGACTTGGCACGTCTGTGCAGAAGGAGGGGCAGGGTGTGGGGAGGTCACTAAGGAGCAGCTGCTGGCTCAGCTTGAGGAGAGTGACCGGTGGGAGCTGCTGGCTGGGAGCCCCAATTCACACCCCAGACTGACCCTGTAATTTCTGTGGTCAAATGGGACACAAGGCGGCAAAATGCCAGAGGGTGAAGGAAATGGCAGCCAGGCTGGGCCCTGAGAGCATCATCTGCCTGGGAGCTCCCCCTGAGGAGGCACCCCTGGCCCGAGGGGGGTGTGGGTGCAGTTGACAGGACCGTGCCAGGAGAGGACACTGGCAGGGCAGGACAGCTGGGGAGGGCGAAGCGCCAGTCCTGGAGCGGCTGTATCCAATCTGCCATGTGAGTGTGGGACAGGCCCCAAGGAACAATCGTCACGTCATCCCCATTGAGGTGGGGGGAGTATCCAGGGGCCCTGGGGTACGGAGGTGACACTGGCATGGCCTGAAATGATGGGCACAGACCAGCTAGTGCTTGATGCCTGCCTGACCATGAGGAGAGTGCTCAGGCCCCTGTAAAGGTGCTTGTAGTGAGGATACACCTGCAAGGAGGTGTCCAGGGTATGTCTACACTACAGCGCTAATTCGAACTAACGCGTCTAGAACTAAAAACTAGTTCGAATTAGCGTTTTGCTAATTTGAACTAGCATGTCCACATTAAGTGGACCCTGAACCAGGCTTAAGGATGGCCGGAAGCAGTGCCGGCAGGGCATCAGAGGAGGACTTAGAGCGTGGAGATGCTGTCTCAGGCTAGCTGAGGGCTGCGCTTAAAGGGACCCGACCCCCACCCCGGACAGACAGTTCTCGGGGTGCCCCGCTTGCAAAGCAGTCCTGGCTTGGAGTACCCGGAGTACCCACACTAGGCACATCACAGCACTCGGCCATCAGACCGGCTGCACTTGGGAGACTGGGAAAAGGAGGTGGGAGAGGGGAAGAGAAAGGCTGGGAGAAGGGAGGGCAACTACAATGATCAGGGGTTGGGAACAGGTCCCATATGAAGAGAGGCTACAGAGACTGGGACTGTTCAGCTTAGAAAAGAGGAGATGGAGGGGGGATAGGATAGAGGTCTCTAAAAGCAGGAGTTGGGTGGAGAAGGTGCATACAGAAAAGTTCTTCATTAGTTCCCATAAAGAAGGACTAGAGGACACCAAAGGAA